GCACGAAGGAATGTCGCAGGATGCAGCAGTGGGTTATAAATACAAGAACAAAAGTACTAATAGTAGAATTATGCATAAAATAATGATCGCATATTGATTAAGCTGTATGAAGGACGGTAGAGCTTTAATAACGGCGAATGAGTGGTCCGCGACAGCCGCGTGCGGCAAACCGATTACCCAAAACCGTTCCTAACGCCCGTCTCCCCAAAAGAGTGCTATGATGGATGGCTACTCAACCACCAATCTCACGTCCTTCCCCAAGATCCAATTTCGACGCGTCGTATACGTGATGGGTGAGAACTTGCGTATTAGAATAGGGTTAAGGCGTAAGAGGAATTTTGTTACGGGTGAATTTCTGCGTCCATTGCATTTTACTTCGCCTGAGAGCTTGAGTATTTCTACGATTTAGCCGGTCTTGATTACTGAGAGGATTAACATACCCCCCAGCTTATGGTGTCCACCAGGATCAAATTGGATCGAACTTGTACCCTATGAGGATTACCTTGGAACTCTAACGAGATTGTTAACGATGAGTTGCCGCCATCGCTTCGACACCTGCGCAGCTGATAGCATCACATCGTGAGGTGGGAGAAATTGAATAATCTGAAATAATGATGTCACTTTAAAAGGAACGACCGAAGGCGTATATTTGAGAATGTTAATTCCGGTAAATAAACAAAAAAACTACGAGTAAACATATTTGAATAAATAACAAATACAAAGCCGTGTGTACACACAAAGGGATTGAGTTATCGGTAAATAAAAAAACTAAATAACAAGGGGAAGCATAAGTGGGCGTGCAAGTAAAACAACAATAAACTGAGGTGATAAAGACATGAAAACAGATGAGTGGGCCTGTATTTTGCGGATTTTGAATGTCTTCATATTTGAACTCACCCTAACTAAAAGTTCATTGGGCAGTCGATTAATGTCCAGTTGATAGTGGATCGGTTCCGTATAGGGTGGCATTTGTCGTTGTCACTCTCGCAGAAGCGTCATGACACTTGATGGAGTCGTTCAACTCT